AGACCTTCTGTAAATTGTCTTGGACCTAGTTCTAACATTGGATTGTTCAGCATGCCTGTAATCCCAGTACTTGGGAGGCTGAGGCAGGAGGATCCTTGGGAGTTTGAGACCAGCCTTGGGCTACAAGTGAGCTCAAGGTCAATGTGAACTGCACAGTGAGAGCCTGTCTCAAAGACATCCCCCCCCCCAGCAGAAAAAAGCTAAAAAAAAAAAAAAAAATTGGATTGTTCTATTTGGTTTCATGCCATTTTGCAACATTTCAGTAGTCAAGTATATACTCATATTGCTGTTTTCTTTGTCATTTCAATGAAGGAGGTCTGCATACCATGTGTCTGTGTCAGTTGTGTTTTGCTGAATTCCACTGTCACAGGAACTTTGGCTTATATGGCCAGTGTCAGAGTTATTGTGGCTGGCCTTATCATCACCATCATCCATCCCCACCAGTCTTCTGTTATGAAAGCATGTATTTTACCATAATGGATCATCTTCATTATCCATGCATGAATGATCTGATGATTTGGATTTGACCTCCTCCAAAAGTTGCAAATCTGGTTTTTCATGTGCCATTGTACTGAATTGGGCTACTTCTTCCAGAAAAATAAAAAAAAATTTTTTTTAACAAATCCTGGAGTAGTGTGGGTCTGTTGGACCCTCTTTGATGCTTGGGTAAACATATGTAAAACAAAGTTACAGGAAGCATAGGGTGAGTAAAAATCCCATTTTGCCATGTTTGCACCCATGCACAGACCTTGCTTTTCATCTTACGGAGTGGAGAAACACATTGATTGCTTCCTGTATCCCTCGGGGAAAGGTACTGAGGCACACAGTTAGCTTCTATTATACTAAAGTACAAATAAACAGTAGAAAGTAAGGGGTGGGCCCACTAAATCCAGTTTTATGTATCTGGGGCTAGAGGTTAGTCATCCATTTGAGGAATAGTTGGCAAAAACATTTTTCCCCATTCTGTTTATTGTCCCTTTATACTCTGTTGGTTGTTGTCTTTACTGTACAGAAGCTTTTTAATTTGCTATGATCCTATATTATCAGTAGTATTTCTTGTGCCATTGGGATTCTGTTCTGAAAGCCCATGCCTATGCCAATCGCCTGTGTGTCTGAGAGTTTTACCTGTTTTTTCTGCTAGCAGATTGTTTCTGTGTTAAAATTTAGTTTTCTTGTCCATTTTGATTTTAAAGCCTGGTGAGGTATTATGAATCTTGACTCAGTCTTCTCATGTGGCTCTCTCACTGTGTAACTCAGGTTGACCTCGAACACTGATACCCCAGTACTGAGATTACAGGCACGCACCATTATACCTGGCCTGAACGGTTAGTTCTTAATAAACATTAATTATAATTGTTATTTTAGATTACCTGTAGAGATTCTGAAAATATATATCTTTAAATTGTGCCATAGGTTTAAAGAGAAGAGTTTATATGAAAATATATACACCCTTGGGATGCATAAGACGAGTCATTGGAATATAAGAAAAAACTCAACTTGTGTTTTAGCATTTTTTTTTTTTTTTAAATCGGTACCAGGGATCGAACTCACGACTGCCTGCTTGCAAGGCAGTGCTTATGCCACTAAGCTAAAGCCCCATTTTTCAGCATTTTTAATGGAAAAATGCAAAAAAAAAAAAAAAACTTTTAACAATTAAAATGCACATTATCAATCCACATAATTTGTACACAAATATATGTATATTGAAGTACATTTTTTTATATTGAGGTACATTTCAAAAAATTCTGAAGCATTCAAAAATGTTGGAATCCATTAATCTAGATCAGTCTTTACTCATATGTATGTTCACTTTATGCTTTCCTATTGCGTATTTATGTAGCCTGTCCTTGTATCTCCATTGAGGGATGTTTACTGTATGAGACAGATGATTCAGTTTATGGTTATATTTATTAGAAATTTACTGATGGGGCGTGATGGCTCCCGCCTGTAATCCTAGCACTTGGAGGCTGAGGCAGGAATATTGCCATGAGGACAAAGCCAGCCTGAACTGCATAGCAAGACTGTCTCAAAAAAAGAAAGAAATTTACCCCACCCTTTGAGTGTGGTGGCATATGCCTATAATCCTAGCACTTGGGCTGCAAGGCAGGAAGACAACAAGTTTGAAGTCAGCCTCATCTACATAGTGAGATCCTGGTCTCAAAAAAATTTAAAAAATGCTAATGAGAGATTCTTGATTTATATGAAAGAATGAGACTTCAGTGGAGGCTCAGGATGGAACCCGGGGCCTGATAGATCCATTTAGTTACTTTTCTCTCCTGTTGCTGATGCCCAAAATTAGGGAAGGAAAAGTTTATTTGCCTTACAGTTTGGGAGGTTTCAGTCATACTCAGTTGGCTCCAAGGAAAAATGACATGGCTGAGGGGCAGCAGTTCATAGCGGCTGCCGACAGCAAGTGTGAACAGCAAAAGAGGGAAAGACGTGGCTTCTTCCCGCCATTACAGTGTGCTGGCTCCACTTCTGGGCAGATGAAGCACTCACAGCACCAGTCCCAGTGCCAGACAATGAGCCAATCATGAATGCTAGATTCAGCCCTGTCCATGATTGCATGAGACTTGTGCGCGGGTGGATATTACATAAATCATAGCATCCAGTGAGCTATACCCTAGTCCTTAATATCTCCCTCTAATACTAGTGCTTAAGCCTTGGGCATGCCAGGCAAACTTTAGCAATGAGCTACAGGCCTCCAACCTTTAAATTTTTTATTTTATTTTTGACATAAAGACTTAAATTGCCCAAGCTGACCTCTGCCTCAGTTTCATACCATATCCAGCTGCAGAGTCCTTCCTATAGCAGATATAGAACAGTGATGGCGAGACTTTTTGAGATCAAGTGCCCAAACTGCAACTCAAAACCCACTTGTTTATTGCAGAGTGACAACACTGCCCGTGTGTGCTGCTATTCGATGCTGGCTCCTGGGGTGACTTGGCTGGCGTGCTGACAGAGTGAGCTCTACATGCCTGCTATGGCACACATGCCATAGGTTTACCACCGCTGGTATAGGGTGTTTTATTGAGTTTGCCGGGCATGGTGTCACATGCATATCTCAGCACTGGAGAGTCTGAGACGGAGTACTGCCACAAGTTCAAGACCAGCCATGACTATGTAGAGTTCAAGGCCAACTGAAACTATGTAACAAAACTCTTTACTTTTGTGTGTGAGGGGGTGGGTGGGTATCAGGAATCAAACTCAGGACCTTGCGCTTGCCAGGCAGGCACTTGTGCTGTTGAGCTATATCCCTGGCCCCAAAACCCTGTCTAGGGAGGGAAAAAAAAGTTTTATTGAGTTTAAAAACAAAAAGCAAGACCTCATATGTAAAAATTACATATATGGCAATATTTTGACTTAAGCGTTTTTTGTTTTCCTTTATGCTGTTTTTGTGCGCCTTTCTTAGATGATGAAACCCCAAGCAAATACCAGAGTCTGATAAGAGCTATACAGATTCATCTTACAGTTCTTCATGATTCTCGTATTTTGCATTGATGTTGCTTGCATGCCTCCTAGGTGAAATGGTTAGATACAAGTCTCTTGTTAGGGAGTCACCATGAATTGACTTGTGATCAGCAAGCCAGGTGTGACTTTCTTGGTATCAGGCAAACCTGATTTCAGGTCACATTCAGTCACTCACTGCACAGATTACCTAAAGTCTGTGGCCTTTGTGTTTTCCTCATTTTATAGTAGTTTTGTGAGGGTTGGAATGCTATTATAAAACATATAGGATATAGAGTCTTTTGTAGCTATTTTCTGATAGTTGCTAGGTGTAGTAGTCCAGATAAGCATGCCCACGATGTGAATGGTACTTGTATTTTCAGTCAGATGGGGTGCTTACCCTCACCCTGGTTGGGGTGTTTAGATCTAGTGTCATTGAGAGTTGAGGTAATTTATATAATTGGCGTTAATATTGTTTGCTTTTGCAATTTCTTTTTCCCAAGAAGGTACGCTTTTGTGTTTAGTAGAGGTTAGTACTTTGAGGTTCTAAAATCCACTACGTTTGGGTGGGCTTGTGGCCCATTAGTGCACTCATAAAGCGTAAGGCCCTGGGTTTGCCTCCCAGCCCTGAAAAAAAGAAAGAAAGAAAGAGAAAGAAAAAAAGACAGACTACTACCTTAGCACTCTGTTTTATATACTTTGTGTGTGTGTGTGTGTGTGTGTGTGTGTGTGTGTGTGTGTAATATATACATCACACTGTATATACCCTGTGTCTATGGATTCACATTTGTAGGGTGTCTTTCACAGAAGGGCTAGCTGTATTTGAGGATGTGATGGAAAAGAAAAAGCTTGCTTATATAGAGGATAGTCTTGTTATAAAAGGCCCAAGATCTTAGAGTTTTCTCTTTCTCACTGTCCTTTCTGTTTAGAATCTAATTCTTTACAACTGATTGAAAATCATTTGGTTTCCTATTTGTCTTTTTTTTAATATATATATATATATCAGTAATTGAACTCAGGACCTGCACTTGCCAGGCAGGTGTTTATACCACTGAGCTGAATCCCTGGTCCCTTGTTCCCTGGTCCCTTGTCTTTCTAAAAGATTAACATTTCTGCGGGGTTTTTTTGTTTGTTTGTTTTTATTTTTGTTTTTCCTTTTTATCGGTACAAGGATCGAACTCACGACTGCCTGCTTGCAAGGCAAGTGCTTATGCTGCTGAGCTAAATCCCAGTCCCCTTATTACCAAATGTTACATGATCATGAAAAGCTTATGTAGGTATAAAGTGTACACTACTTGGAGCTGGTTTTTTTAAATGTGGTGCGCTGTTTTCTAACTGATATTCAAACTTGTCTGCAAGATTAGTGATACTATATTTATGGAAGTTAAGAAGTCATGTCCTGGAATTCATCTCTTAAAAATAAACCTCGGTTTCATTTCTAGAAAAAAAAATACTATGAAACAAATTATTTAAAATCTGACATGTAGTATTAAGGAAGTGGTAGCAAACATTTCTGTTAATAAATGAAATATGACATAGACATTTTTTCTCAGGTGTAGAATGAGCCAAGGAGATTCAAACCCAGCAGCTATTCCACATGCAGCAGAGGATGTTCAAGGAGATGACAGGTGGATGTCTCAGGTAAAGAGAAGCACATCTTCACGTGAAGTGTGTCTTTTCATGTTTTTAAGCCCTTGTATCAGAGCTGGGAGGGGACAGTTTTTTTTTTTTTTTTTTTTTTCTTGCGGTACCAGGGATCGAACTCATGACCTCACACTTGCTAGGCAGGTGCTTATGCTGCTGAGCTAAGTCCCTAGCCCAGAGGGGACAGTTTTAATAGTCAATGTACATTTATTACTATACATATACATTTAAAAATCTAATGTTAGAAATGTCAAACCTGATCACCATTTTGAAGTTGAGGAATATTTTGATACCATAATAACTGTCTTCTGTTACTCTTTAAAGATAGCAGTGCCTTTACAGTATTAAAGGGATGCTTTTTGAAACCAGGTGTCACTGTGTAGTTTAGTCCGGCTTGAACTGCATAGCCCGGGTTGGTCTTGGTTGTTTTTTTTTTTTTTTTTTTTTTTGGCTTTTTTTCCTTTTTATCGGTACCAGGGATCGAACTCACGACTGCCTGCTTTCAAGGCAGGTGCTTATGCCGCTGAGCTAAATCCCCAGCCCCCCCCCCCCCCCCCCGGTTGGTCTTGAATTCACTTTATTCAGCCTTTTACCTCAGCCTCCTGACCTGAATGCTGGGATTCCAGGTGTACACCAACACATGTGGCATAATTTTTTAAAAATAAATTTCAAAATTGCACAAGTGTTAGAAAATTTTAGGAAGAATCCCCTATGTTCTTTCCCTAGACTTATCAGTTATTAATGTTTGCCATATCTGAACCGTCTGAGGTAAGTTGGACTCACCTTTTTTTTTTTAAAGATGAAGTCTCGCTATGTAGTTCAGGCTGGCCTTGAACTCACTGTGTAGTCCAAGATGGCCTCGGACATATGATAATCCTCCTGCCTTGGACTGCTGAGTGCTGGGATTACAGTGTGCAGCACTGTGCCAACTTACCATCATCTTTTATCCCTACCTAGAGTTCAGTTTTCTAAGAACAAAGACTTTTCATGTAACTAAAAGATGGTTATTAAAGTCAGGAAATTGGGCCGGGGATTTAGCTCAGCGGCATAAGCGCCTGCCTTGCAAGCAAGTAGTCGTGAGTTTGATCCCTGGTACCGATAAAAACAAAAAAGACAAATAAATAAATAAAGTCAGGAAATTTAGCGTTGATATAATTACCTACTTACCAGTCCAATTATGTAAATACAGGAGGACCAAAAGTTGCTTTTTTTTCATTGATTTTTAAATATTTATTTATTTATGTATTTATTTATTTATTGGTACCAGGGATCAAACTCAAAACGTCACATTTGCCAGGCAGGTGCTTATGCTGCTGAGCTAAATCCCCAGCCCCTTTTCATTAATTGATACTATAACAGGAAATACAAAAAGTGTAATTGTATCATTTATTCAATACAAGAATCAACTGATTGGCTGGGAGTGGTGTTGCATGCTTGTGATCCTAGCACTTGAGAGGCTGGGGCAGGAGAATTGTCTCAACTTGAAGGACCAGCCTGAACTACATAGCGAGACCCTGTCTCAAGAGCAAAACGAATTGAGTGGTTGAAATGACACCTGTCCTTTCAGTGCTAGGAAGAGTCAGTATATAAACAAAAGTGCTGTCCAAGTGATACATAGGGTACTGTTAATAGTTAATCAAAAAACTAATTCACATTTCTCCAGCTGTGCCAGGAGTGTTGTTTATAATTGACCTTCTTAGTCCAGCATTACACATTACATTCTGTTTTGTGGCTCTTTGTTCCCCTTGATCTGAAACATTTCTTGGTTTTTGTTTTTCATGACCTTGACAGTTTGGAAGAGTAAAAAAGCCTTTTTGAAAATTCAGGGCTTTTTGTTTTGTTTTGTTTTTCTTTTTTTGTAACAGGATCTCTACATGGTACAGGCTGACCCCGAACTCAGTTTGTACCCCACATTAGCCTTGAATTTATGCTGATCCTTCTGCTTCAGCCTTTTGAGTCTTGGGATTACAGGCGTGTGCCACCATGCCAAGCCAGGCCATTTATTTTAAACAATTCCACCAATTTGGGTTTGTCTGTTTTCCCATTACCAAGATTCAGATTATGCAACCAATAACAAATGCAGGAGGGGCTGTAGGGGAGAAGGAACCCTTCTCTATTGTTGGTGGTAGTGTAGACCAGTGTAAATACTAAGGAAATCAGTGTAGAGATGCCTCAAAAAACTAAGATTAGAGGTCCCATTCGACCCAGCTATTCTCGTTTTGAGTATCTTCCCAGGATTAAAAACATCGTACCATAGTAGTATATGTGCACCCATGTTTGTAGCAGCATAATTTGTAATAGCTAGACTTTGGAAACAACCTAAATGACCACTGACTGAAGAATGCATAGAAAAGATGTGATATTTTTATACAGTGGAGTACTACTCAGCCATAAAGAAGCGTAAACTGGAAACAGATAAATGGATGCAAATTTGAGATCATACTTGTAAGTGAAATAAATCAGCATGCAAGTGTAAACATTGTATTGTCTCACCAGTGTGAGAAGCTGAAAGAAATAATATATAATGTGTATACCATTGTTTCCCCCTAATTATTACGTTTTGAAATTTTGTTTTGTATTTTCTTCTTTAAAATAAAATAGATTTGAAAAGAATATATAAAATGGCTGCATCTGAACAGCCTTAACCCACCTAAAAAAGATTTAGATTATGAATTTTTGACAGGTTTTGTTATTTAATTCACATTTTTTGTTGTAACCAGTTCTTTGTGGTTGACTGATTGCATTTACTGGGAATTGAACCCAGAGCCTTTACAATGAGCCTCAAGGCCAGCCTGAATTGCAGAACAAAACTGTCTCAAAAAGACCAAAAAAGAGGGGCTGGGGATGTAGCTCAGCAGCACAGCTCCTGCCCAAAGCAAGCGTGAGATTGTGAGTTCAGTCCCCAGTACTAAAAAAATTTAAAACTTGCATGAAAAAGATGGACTGTCTTTATTAAGGCATCATATGCCCATACTTTTTTTTTTTAGCTCTTTGAGACAGGGTAGTTCAGACTGGCTTTGAATTCATCTGTGTTGCCCAGGCTGACCTTGAACTCACAGCAATTCCCCTGCCTCAGCCTCTCAAGTGCTGGGATTACAGGCACATACTGCCACATATCCGACCGTAAATACTGTTTTGCAGTGGAAAGAACCAGGAGTCCTTGGAGAGATGGTTGAGTCTGTAAGTGGCATGAGGAAAATGTACCTGGAATGAAGGATAGGCAGACCTGTGATCCCAGCATCCTGGGAGGTTTATGCAGGAGGCTTAGCCTGGCAGCCATCTCAAAATAAAAAAGGGCTGGGGATGTAGCTCCTCAGTGCTTCCAGGGAAGTGGAATGCTTGTAGTACTTTATAATGCAAAGAAGCAACAAAGTAATCCAAAGAGTAAAAGCAAGGTAGGTGGCAGGATTGTGTGTCCTCGTGCGTCACACAGCAGGCGTGTAATAGCTTTTCCTCCCTGAGAGCCAGCCTGAAAGGGCAACCAAAGTGTGAAGCAGAAAACTGGGGCAGTATAGTAAAAATAATCAAATAAATGGTTAAATGAACTGATAAATAGGAGAGAAGATACAAATCTTCATGGAAGAATGTAATACAGAAAGAAGAAGGGAAAACAAAAATCTTTAGACCACACAGAATAATTAGCATAGGCAGGATCCATTGATGAATATCAAAGTCGGTGAGCACAGCCTTGAAGAGAAACTTTATGTTGTTGTTCTATTCTCAAAAGTATTTCCCTCTATTTTTTGGTTTGTTTGTTTGTTTTATTTTTTGTACTAGGGATCAAGCTCGTGACCTCACACTTGCCAGGTGGGCACTTATGCCACTGAGCACCCTGCCCTTATCTCCCTCTAAATTACTTGGATATTTTTAATATGTGACCACAGGGTTTTGTTTTTGTTTTTGTAGTACTGAGGAATTGAACTCATGAGTGCTTACCACTGAACCACATCTTTAACTCTTTATTAGTTTTTTGCAGTTTTATCTTTTGGGCATGGGTTATTGCTAAATTGCCCAAACAGGATTTGAACCTGTGATCGTCCTGGTCAGTCTCCCTGTGTGCCGAGATTACAGAACTTTTAACACTAAATCCAATTTATTTTTGATATCCCTCCTTCCAGTAGTTGGCGCTTAATTCACCTGACCATCGGGTAGTCTGAGTTTAGTGTTCGGATTCTAACAAATAGAATAGGTTAAGGAAAAATAATAACTAACTACACTGGAGAAGTCTTGCAAGTGATCAGTTATAGCATTCCAGTAATAGTTTATGTTAATGTCATGTACCCTCTGCAACAAGTACATATCACCTCTGGTAGCGTTCCTAGAAATCTGTGACCTCAGCCTAGTCATGAGAAAATACCAGTCAAATTGAAGGGTGTCCTACAAAAGTAGCTGACTGCTACGCATCTGAAGTGTCGCTGAAGTCACATGAGGCTCCGGGTACCTATGATCCAGTCCTCTCAAGTTTGAGATCAGCCTTGACAGTTAGCAAAATGCTGGCTTAGGGTGCACTACAGTGAGCTGGGGATGTAGTTGGGCACTCGTGTGCTTCCCTGGCATGTGCGAGTCCCTCAGTTAGAACACTCCCAGAGGAAAAGAAAATGAAGAGATAAAGACTAAATGCAACGCAGTGTCCCGAGTTGATTCCAGAACAGGAGAAGGGTGCTAGGAAAAAAAAAGCAATCAGTAAGAGTTAGAGAATAAATTCCGGTTTAGTTGATACTATTCACTATTGATACTGTTACTATTTATTAGTTTTGATAAATGTACCATGTTTTTTCCCTTTGGCTTTTTTTTTTTTTTTTTTTTTTTTTTTTTGGTGGTACGGGGGATTGAACTCAAGACCTCGCACTTGCCAGGCAGGCGCTTATGCTGCTGAGCTAAATCCCCAGCCCACCTTTGGGTTTTTTGAGACAGAGTCTCTCTATGTAGTGCAGGCTGGTCTTGAACTTGCTTATGTAGACCAGACTGGCCAGAAACTCAGAGCAGTTCTCCTGCCT